TCAGAGAAGAGTTTGTGAGCAGCACGGTGAGTGAAAGGGCTTTTAATGACAACAAAGAACAAAAACTTCAGTTTAGAGAATGAGAAATCAAACTAGCGGCCCAACCTGCACATCCTGTCTTTATCCTTTTTTTTCCTCTAAACCTGCAGTAATAATGGCTGGCAAAAAAAACATGGATTGAAGTGAATCGCCATCTGCTGGTGACTTTGCCTCCAGCATGAGACGTAGGGTTGCCACCTTTCAGAAATTAAAATAAGGGAGATCCACCACGGCCGTGTCGCTCTGCTCTCATGGGCTAGGATGGCCGCTGCAGTGGTGGACATTATTTAATGGCAGTTTGTTGTTGAAAAAAGTGATTCATAGAGCAATAGTGAGAGCACCAAATTTGCATTCCAATCAGAGTAATATAATTTTTACCTAAGTAGAAATAGAAAGGAACTGTCCAATAAATTATTTAAGCTTTAATTAGGCAAAGGTAAAAAGTATTTGGTATAAAGTCTACTGAAGAACCGAGTAACTGATCAGAAAACCTGATTTAGGATTCAAAATTTGTCCTCAGTCACCCAAAAATATAGTTATGTGCAAATATGTGCATGTTATAAGGAGGCTGGTTCTGAACCAAATTCACTATGGAGGCCAGAGTAGTCTGTGTTTTTTTCAAGTTAACACTTAAAAGATTGAAACAAAAAATGTATATATTAAATAAGCCAAAGAGTCAGTTGCGTCTCCAGAGATTCAGGTTGCAGATTTTTGGCAGATGGAAAGTGTGATTCTCTCCTGATACAGTAACTAAACATGTAAAATTGTGAATGTTTAAAACCCCCCACCATTGAATATTAACAAAATACATTTATTTAGTATAATTTTTTCAGTTCTCCTGTCTAGAACTGCCCCTCTGCCTGTGTCTGGTGCATTTTTGGTTAGCATGTTTTTTCTTCATTGATAGGAAGTCAGCTTATCCAAACTGATAAACCAAAATAACAGTGAAATATACACTGTACAACACACAGAAAGCCCTGACAAACATTTTTTATGTAGGAGATATTTACTGTTAATCTATTTGTTCTTTAAATTGATATAAATTTGGCTGACGCCGTTATAAAATAAAATCCCATCCAAACTCAACATCCTACAGTCAATCATAATAGTTTACTAAAAGCACAATAAAAACTGAATCAATAATAAAATGTTCTGGACTATATCGGTCTCAGAAGATGATTGAGGGATGAAGAGACACTGATGTCTGGTTCTAACGGGTCTGCAGTTGCTCTCCTGATTCTCTCTGATCACACAGGAAACCATGATGGACACCTTTTTCTAAATGCCTGTTTACATTCTCACTGACATTGTTCCCTCTCATTTAAGTAGTTCTTGCTTCTAAGGGCATGGCGGAGTATCGGATCGAGGACATTTTAAAAAGATGGCGGCTCACTATGGCTGCGTATTGTCCGTCTCTAGGCAACGGTCAGTGCTGCGTTGTGGGGGTCCTGTAGCTCCCTTAATATGACCTTAATATTTCCTATATTTTATTTTTGTCATTAATGTTACACTTAGTATTTATGTGTGTGATAGGCGTGTCTATTGGGCACTTTTATAAACACGGAACAAATTGCAATAGCAACGTTTAACAGCCAAATACGAGACGGATGGCAACCTTACTGAGAATCCATCCAGCCGAATGGAAAGTAAAACCAGCTGCTGCAGACAGTGGAGTTTGATTAAAACTGTGTTAACTGAGTGTCAAAACTCGTCTCTGGGAAAAGTGTTCAAAACACACAGGACTGGCCACTTCGGCCGTACTTCTATTTGTTACAGTATAAGTATTTGTTCTTGAGGATTCAAAAGGGCCTGGAAATGAATTAACGGAGTGTGATGAGACAAAGGGAAGCTCAGCTAAATTAAGCTGGGAAAAAAGGAGATCTTACCGAAAAGGACAAACAGAAGAACAGCGAACAGATCCATCATCCTGTACTTCCAAACACCGAATCATTACAAGATGATGTCTTATTAACTAACTAACAATTTCACAAAATAAACCAAAAGCCAATTTTATCCTGCAGTCAATGTAATGTCACCCGACGAAAAGACAATAGCTCTGGTTGAATACTTAAAGTGAGTTAATTTCACTTTCACATGGAAAAAAAACTCATGGAAGGCTGGGTCAGAATTTTGACTTTCAAAGTAAAAGTTTGTTTAAAAATAACTGAAGTGATGTGAGATTTTACAAGAAGAAATGCTCATTATGATCGGCCTAACACATTTACTTATTTATAATTTTACTTTCAGTGGCTTGTGAACACATCTAGGTATATTTTAGACATAGACTTTAGACGTATATTTTATATTTTAGATTAAATTCTTGTTTTACTGGTTGACAAAGGATATTGGGAAAAAATGTAAATGAGAAGAAACTGATGTAAGTGAGGTGGCAGCATATTAATCAAACGAGTTAAAACTTCTGGACAGCTTTATTAAAATTATTAGATGCACCAAAAATGCTGAATTAATGTGTTTTTTATACAGACAGAGAAACAGTTCATGTTCTCCTGCATTTACAGATTAGTAAAGATTTGACCTAAGATTGAGAATTTGAATTTAGAGGAGAGTTTTCTGTAGCCTGGGATGTTTGATTGTTGTGAGAAGTTTAAAGTGGCGTCCAAACTTTTTGCACTCGGGACCAAAATTAGCAACTTCAAAGTGCTAAAGGGGGGATATATTTTCCCCAGTTGAAAAATGCTAAATAATTTTAATAAATGAAAACTGATAAATTCATAAAATATTTTACTGAAGCAAAACAAACAAAAATAAATTATTGTTAATCTTAAAAATGGATTCTCACTTCTTGGGTTGAATATTTTCGATTTAATTGGTTTAGAAAAGGAACAAAAATAAAACTTTCATTCATTTTTGCCCAATTTAATGTGTGTCAAAGCTCATTTCAGAGTAAAATATTATTTGTAGCCTCTTCTGATATTAAACTCAACAAGATTCAACAAGATATTAAATTCATCCAAATTACAAAAAGTGTCCATCTGCATCAACTCCATTTGCCACATTTGTGTCATTCTTGAAATGTAGTCAAGGGCCACACAGTTATTCCATGAGAGCCTCACTGGTTTAGTGTCAGCTTCACACACTGCAGCTGAAGCTAACACTGATGCTGCTTTAAGAAAAAACATCTGATCTTGTACAAAACCAAATAAAAAGTGACAGATGTGATTCCCTCAGATAAAAACTTTAATATTTGCTGATATTTTTCTGTTGGCCATTTTCTTGTTTGAATTTTCTGTCTTCGTCCCAAATCGTCCTTAGAGACGTTGTGCAGCGTCTTCATGTCTCGTCCTTCCAGGACTTCATGAACAGTGGAGTTAATATTTTTATCTGTTGATAAACAGAGAATAAAACGGATTAGAGGATAAATCTAAGAAAATAACTTATAATTCACATTCAGCAAATAATCAGACTGATCACTTCATCCATCCATCATGTAACAAGTTCATCCTCACAGGGTCCTGGGGGTGTTGGTGCCTCTCTCTCCAGTGATTTTTGGGCGAGACGGGATCACTTGGACAGGTCACCATCACAGGACAACACAGAGACACAAGCTCACATCTAAGGACGATTTAGAGAAACTGTGGGAGGAAGTCGGAGTACCCAGAGAGAAACCAGGCATGAACAGGGAGAACATGGAGGCTCCATGCAGAAAGACCCCAGACTGGGATTCAAACCCAGAACCTTCTTGCTGCAAGGCTGAGATGTCTGGATAAGTTTCCAGATCAGTGATGATCCAGAATCAAAGCTCCACAGACCGATCATAGAAAGAAGAGAAAAAATAATAAAAACGAACAGAGAGACTTTTCTGTGACCCGTTATATTTCAACATTGATTCATTCATATTTTGCTGGTTTCTTAAACTGTGGTGCAGAACAAATTAGATGAAAAATGTTGAAATTTTGCTTAGATGTGAGAATATGAAAGAATGTTGGTAAATACAACAATATATTTATATCTCTGTATAACAGAGATTATGATGGAAACAAAAGACATTTTAATACAATTTTTACACATCAAAGATGGACCTTTTAATGTTTAAAGGTTCTCTCACAGCTGAGGGACGAATCACTGACTGTTTTGATTCCCACTTAAAGATTTCTGTTCCTTCATCATAAAGACAAGAAGACATTAAATTATAAATATACATTAGGTGTGTGATTTTAGTTTGAGGAGAACTTGACATTTTTAAGCTTTATAAAGAAAAGAGTTTTTGTGGGGCAATTTTTTTTTGTGGCATCAAAATTCCTTCATTCTTATCTTCACCAAGAAGTTGATCAGGAATCAACTGACACTGATCTAGCAAGTTTACTGAGATAAACCCTGATGGTTCAGACAAAATGATGCAACTTGACTCAAACATCAGATCCTTCAGCTTAGAGTTCATCCTCAGGTTCATCTGAAGCTTTTCTGTCCTGAAAACTTCCCATCATGCTGCAGGTTTTAATCAGAGCAGATTCCTTCCTGTCAGTCGACCGTTTCACAAACATCCTTCACAGCTGAGAGACTCAGATTCTGGTTCCACATTCAGCCTCAGAGATTCACACAGAAACGACACGTTTGATTCCCAGAGAGCAGATCAGAGTCTGAGATCAGGAGGAAACAATCAGGTGATGAAGCTGCTGGTTGATACATGATGTCTGACTGTAAACAGCTTCAGCTGCTGATCTCACTCTGATCAGTGACCAGCTCTGATCTGGTTCTGGTCATCAGCTCAGATTCTGATACAAACAGCCAGATGAGACACATTAATGTGATGAAACACATTTAAAGAGCCTCCAGGTGATAATTGTCCATCATGTGAGACTGAATCTCATCTCAGCTCTGAACAGGCTGCAGCAGTTCAGTCTGACTGATGATCCTTCATCTCCATTTCTCTGCAGCAGCCAGAAGAAAACAGGAAAACTGAAACAGACTCTTCATTTCATCACCAACATCAGGAGAACATGCAGCAGAAAGG